AGCAGCAGCAGAGGCACGACTGATGCCCGGCCACATCTCCAGGATTCAGCTGCCGAGCACCACCAGGCTCGTGGATGAAGAGGGTACTCTCAAGCCATCGAAGGCTTGGCGTTTGCTGGTAACCACCCTGGGTCCCGAGGTCTGGTCCGATGCCCTCGAGCGATTCGGCTGCTTAATTGGGCAGACAGCAGACAAACTCGTGGTCTTTCTATTGATTCTGACTCGTGGCGATCCTATGGGACCAGGTGGGGCAGCTCCAGAGCGCTGGAGACCGTACCCTTTGAGGGCAGGCAGTCCTATCTTCCCGCAGAGGGGCAGGTGGGTTCAAATTCTGGTTTGGCTCAGTGCACCAGGTGCCATAAACAGGCAGAGGCAGTGGAAATGGAAATGCTCAGACTAGCGCCAACCTTCCCTGTAAGGACAGTTAGGGAGCAACTTTCAATAGCTGGGCTGTGGAACCCTTTTGCTGTGTTTACAGCTGCTTGTTTACCATGGAATGGCCTCCCAGAGGATAGGCGCTCTTCAGACTTTAACTTGCCCCGGAATCACCAACGGGCCATTAAAATGCCGATTCTGCTTCAGTGGGACAGAGGGCGATTTCTCAGGTGGTGCTGGCGAGGCTGCAGGGGGGAGCCACACTGCGGGGAGTTGACAGGGACAGGAGCAGCTCGGTGTCAGGATGCACTTGCCTGCAGATGGTGGCAGGGAGGAGAGGCATTGAGGTCTTGTGCTGCACCATTTAGACAGGTCAAACCGAGACGCTATGCCTTCTCCGCTTCCCACCCCTGCCCACACTGCCCTGCATGCGAGCTCCTGTGAGCAGGACCTGGGCCTCCCGCATCACTCGGCCCTGAAAGAACCCAGAGATGCCTTTCTGAGATATGCCTTCCCTTCTCAGAAATGAAGGCGTCCTGGTACCAGGGACTGCTAACCACAAGGTCAGCAGTTTGAAACCACTAGCCGCTCTGTGGGAGAAAGATGAGGCTTACTGCCCTGGTAGATTGACAACTTCAGAAATCCAGAGGGGCCTGTGGGTTCTCTTCTTTATAAGGCCACTAGGGACTGGAAGGGACTCTGTGGCGGTGAGAGCTCTGGGGGGCACACTTACTTACTGAACTACAAACTCAGAGGTTGGCAGCTGGGTTGGAACCCACTCAGAGGTGCCTTGGGAGGCAGGTCGAGCAAGACAGGCTTCTGGAAGGTGCCCTGCGGATACAGTTCTCTGCACACAAGGGGCTGCTGAGCTAGGGAGCCCCAGGGTGCTTGTCCTCCTACCCACAGGACGAGAGGCGGGTCCTCACAGGTAGGCATATTTTTCCTTTTTCCCCCCAAGTGACTGAGGTTCTTATCTCCCTACAATACTTAGAGCTAAGCTTCAGGGAAAAGATGATGCCGGTATCCAGGGCTCAGATGCAGTGAAGCTTCAGGGGAAGTTCGTGATGCATCTGATTTTTGTTCCACCTGGTTTTGCAGTCAAGATGGTCCTGCCCCCTGTGAAGGCAGCCCTGCCCCCAGCCCTGCACACCGGCATGACCACACAGGCTTGGGATAGTGCCGCTCGGAACTGCCCAGGTCCACCAGGCCCTTCCTGGGAGTGGACAGCGGCAGCACTGGAAGTGACAGGCATAAAGTTCGCTCACATCTGGGGATGTGGACCCCTCTTCCTGACAAAGGAGACCATTCACATTTCTTCTTTGGGAGGAGGGGTGAGGGTGTGTGTGTGCACAATTAAAACACAACAATGAAACCAACCTTTAAATAGTAACTTTTAAAAATATAAAAACAGCTCAATACAATGACTTTCATTTTCTTTTTCCTTCAGGAATTCACTTTCTTTTCCCCTCTCCCTCCCTCCTGGCTAGTTTTTACAAGTGGTGGTGGATGAACATAGAAGAGATGAGAGAGAGAGAGAGAGAGAGAGAGGAGACTCTAGATAACAGCCCCCACCAACCCTATCCCACCCAGAAGTACAGGGAACCAGATTGGCCAAGAGACCCCAACTTCCTGTCAGGGCAGCTGACTTCCTGTCAGGGCAGCTGCTTGGCCCAGGAGTATGGCCCACCACAGTGCTGTTCACCGAAGCTCCGCCTTCTTTCTCCCGGCCAAAGCACACATGATACAATAATCCATAAAAATGCAGTATAAAAATGATCTTCCATATGCTACCCCTATGGAGAGGCCGCCCCCCACCCACCACCACCGGGACTCACAGCGGCCTAACTTTTCTTTGAAAGAAGAAAAAGGACCAAAGAGGATTTAAAAAAAAAAAAAAGATCCACCGCTACCACCCTAACACCTTAAAACAAATCGGTACCCAAAGCGGTACCTGCAAGGGACAACATTCTAACTGTAGCTTTTGGGGGTCCTAAGAGACCGAAGAGGACAAGCCTGACCCCCACCAGTGTGGTGAGGTGGCCGTCGCCCTCCCCGGCCCCCTCGGAGGGTCTGGGCTGAGCCCTGGGGATAATCCTTTCAGGCTCACACCCTTGTAGGCTAGAAGGCTGATGGAGGCTCCACAGGCAGGACAGGGGTGAAGGCATTTTGTAAAAGGACATCACTTCTAAGTCTTTTTATTCAAAAAAACAAAAACAAAAACAAAACCCGAAACAGCACCCACATCAGTTGCTATTTTTCTGGTAGCTCCCTGAGCTGAGTTGCTATGCTCTCTTGTTAACTTGTTTTCCCCATTCCAGGTTGTGTCCGAAGATTAAGGGGGGCTGGAGAGGGGGGTCCCTTTGAATTTCGATAGCTCTTCACAGAACCAAGGATGCCCCAGAGGCTGACCAGGGCTGGGCGTGTGAGGAGAAGTAGGGGGGCAGAGAACCAGAGTGAGGACGAGGCAGAGCCCATGGGGCCCTCAGGGGCCACAGACAACCGTGCTCCCATGATGCCTGGCTGGCACTTGTCTCCCGCACTGCCATCAGTCTGTCTGCCCACCTGGTACTTCACTCAGACCCGGTGCAGCTGTCCTCAAACTCACCCGGACATGAGCTCATTCAGGGGGCGCCCCCCGGAGGGTCAGTCTTCTTACCTGCTGCAGCTCCCTCCCTGCCCCCTAAGACTCCTCTCCTCACACGATCCCTCCTCAGCTTGTTCCCTCCCTTCCCCTGTCCCCCCTCCCCAGATGGTAAGTTCTGTTTAAAAGTAAACAAACGAAGGAATGAAAAAAAGCCACCCCCAGGAGTGGATGACACATACAGCAGTCGAAAACAGGAGCGGAGGGGTTCCCGTGGGGCAGACAGGGCCTCCCCCCCCCACTGACCAGGCCCAGAGCCAGAAGTCCGCTATGAACACGTTTCACAAACCCTGTGCACTGCACAGTGGGAACAAGAGACCCCCCACCCCCACCCCAGCACAAAAATGTGGTCCACTCCTGTGTCCCCGACCCCAGGCCGTGGGGACAGGCCCAAAGAAAGGTCAAGAAGAGACACAGATTCAGGAGGGTGTCGGTGGGGAGTCCGAGTTCTATTTGTAACATCGGCCAGGGGTGTTGGGGAGGAAGAGGAGCCAGGAGCGTGCCCTCGCAGCCCGGACGGGGCGCAACCTGGACCACGCCGCTGTCCACAGGGGCCTGCGCCCAGGGTCTCGCTGACAGCCCCGTCTGCTTCTCCGGCATTTGATAGCCCCGACAGAGCCCTTGTTTAATAGATGACCTCGTAAACTGTGGCCTTCTTGTCACCAGAGCCCGTTACAATATATTTGTCATCCGCCGAAATGTCACAACTCAAGACGGACGAGGATTCTTTAGACTGGAGGAGGGAGGCGAGGAGGAGAAGCCGTGGTAAGGGGTGCGGGGTGGGGGGAGAAAAGACAGTTCAATTTCTCAGGCCTCCACATTATTCATTTCAATACCCCTGAATAAAGTCCTGCCCCCCTCCCGGCAGCCTGGAGCATCAATTATCAACTCAAGTCAGCCAACTATCAGCCCAGACAAGCCTTACACTCCCGAGACTCAATCGCCTGCTTCACTGGGGGCAGGATCACCCACCCTTGGGTCCAGCCTGCTCTCAGAAGGTCCTAAGGATCAGAATTGAGCCCTTTGGCATCATCATGTTCCCCAAGTCAGGGGCCTCTCTCTGAGGGGTCAGCAGGCCCTCCCCACTCTGATCTATGCGCCAACCAGTGGAGGGCAAGCCTCTGGAAGGCTGAGATACCCTGACCATCCACATCACAGGACATGCCCAGCGCACAGAATCTGTGTGAGTGTGTGTGTGTGTGTGTGTGTGTGTGTGTGTGTGTGTGTGCGTGCGCGCGCGCGCGCGCGCGCGCGTGCACAGGAGAGACCAAGCCTGTGTGAGTGTGAGGGCATCAAGCTGGGGCGTAGATCTCAAAAAGGGCTAAAATGTTCCCTCTTTGCCCAGATGCTTTCTCCCGTCCCCTTGGGCCCCGAGCTCCACTTGCTGGGCTGCCCACCGCTGTGATGAGTGCCAGCAGTTCCCTTGCTCCAGGCCCGTCACAGAGCACACCACCAGGACGCTGTTGTCTTCTGTCCTACACTGGTGTTGCTGTTACCAGCCACTGCATCACCCCCCAAAACTCATGGCAACCCCAAGCATAATAGGACGGACCAGTCTGGTCCCCACCCTGTCTTCCCCATGACTGGCTGTAGACCAGGCCATGGTCATTTATGTGGTTTTCATTGGTGGATCCTGGGCAACACATCACCAGGCCTTTCTTCCTATTCTGTTTTCATTCGGAAGCTCTGCTGAAAATGGCTCAGCACCACAGCGACGTGCAGGACTCCCCTGGCAGGGGCGCAGGGGCTGCACAGGGGCGGTATGGAAGAGAACTGAACTCCGGTCTACCCTATGTTAAGGTGGAAATTCTACCACCCAAATTCTCTTGGCTTAAAAGTTCCCGCCCCCAGTGGTCAGTGAGCATCAGCAACAGCGTGTCCCTGGCCCACAGTGAAGTCCCTAAGGCCGCTCACTGGAGAACCTGTCCTGGAGCCCCCACAGGAGCGGCTGCAAAGGGGCAGGGCTGTCCTGGCCCCCGGCGCCCGACCCTGCCCCCCTGCTGCTCGGTGGGAGGGCGGTACCTGGAAGATGCTGGCCCCATAGGGCGTCCTCCAGGCGTTGAGCAGGTTATCTTTCCCAGTACTCACAAACCACTTGCCTGCAGATGGGAGGGGAAGCGGGGAAGGGACAGTCACCCTGTGCCTGCCCACCTCAGCTGCCCAGACAAGGCCGGCTGCCATGGAAACCGCTAGCCAGTGCTTAGCATCAATCGCTCCTTGAGAGAGGCATTTTGCAGGAGACACATGGACAAGCAACACGGCCTTTCTCTGGGGGAAGCATGGGCTAGGATGGGAAAAGGCAGGGGTTGGTGAATCTCAATTAGACACCCACACACGCATACACACAGTCAGCTGATGCCTCCAAAGTAAAAAAGTGGAGAGGTGGCCACAATGATGGGAACAGTCACGCTCTGAGAACGACCCATGGGTGCCCTTCCCCTGTGAGGGCTCCCCTGGCTGAGGGCTGTCCACAGGGCGTGGATGAGGGAGCACTGGTCAGAAGCAGGCCCCGAGGTCTCCGAGCCTGGGCCTCCAGCCCTCGGGGGAGCTACTAGGCTGCTGAAAACAGCTGTTCACCTGCTCAGCCAGCTTCCAACCCTGGCGTGGACAGTGCCTGTACCCTGTGACAGCACCTAACTCCGAGGGGTAAGGGGGATCCCCAAAGTATGGCAAAGAGATTGCTGGTCCCCGGATTCTATTCCTGCTGTACGCTGAGGATAACCTCAGGTAGGGGAGTGACCCTCCTCCCCCACCGGCCTCCCCCCTCCCCGGCTTACCACAATAGGCAAACTTGAGGGAGAGCACACAGCTCTCATGCAGATGCAGCTGGTACTTGTCGGGCTTGGTGTGATGCAGCACCTCCACGTTGCTGCTCTCCATGCCCACGGCCAGCCACTCCCCAGTGGGGCAGTAGCCCAGGGAGAAGATCTGCAGAGGTGGGGCACAGTCAGCACCGTGGCCCTCCAATGGACTCCAGGCTCAGAGACCCCAGTCCCATCCTATCTTACCCTGCCATTTGCAAGGCAAGGCCTCCCCCCGCCCAATAACTCAGGGTGTCATTCTGCGACTCCATGTAGCATAGGAGGAAGTGGGGGCTCACAGACATGTGCAGCAGCAGACCCAGGATTCTATCGGAGGGGGCCCAGCTATTTCCCTCCCAGAGTGAGCCCGTCTCTGCGGTGTGAGCCGAACTTGAGAAAAGAGGTGAGGAAATGACCAGAATAAACACTACCCCGCAGCCCTCATCACACCTGCAGCTGCAGTGTGGATTCCAGGAGCCACGGACCAGCTTTAATAAAGGGGCTCCCACCGGCCCCTCAAAGCAGCTCCCGCCCATCCTCCTACCCCAGGAATGGAAATCCGAGGCCAGAGGGTCTGACATTAGCAGAGCCAGAATCACACCTAAGCGGCAGGTGAGTATCCCTGACTCCCAAGCCTTGCTCACTGGATTTCACCGCTGCTTCCTCCAGGAAGCCTGCCCGGGCTACTGAGGTAGGCCCTCACCCTGACATCACTCTGCCCTGCCCCGTACCTGGGAAGTGAAGTCATGCTGCTGCAGCTGCCGGCCCTCCCGGAGGTCCCAGGAGCGCACAGTGTTGTCCAGGCCCCCTGTCCACAGCTTGGTGCCATCGTGGGAAATGTCGATGCAGCTGGCCCCGTCCGTGTGGCCCTGGAACTGCCTGTCGGGACCGGCAAGGAGGTGTGAGTCCCAGGGAACCGGGATGGCCACCGGGATGGCTCTGAACAGTGCGAGCCAGCTCAGACTCTGAGCCGAAGAGGAAGCAGGCCCGAGGGGTGCACTGCCCCCTGAAGGCCCCTCCGCAGTGCTCAGAGCTAGGTCCAGCTCCTGAGACCAAGGCCGTGCAGGGTCTGAGCATGACTTAGGCCAGGCCAGAGGAGCCCTAATGGCCAGGTGGGCTGTTAACCGCAAGGTCAGGAGTGGGAACCTACCAGCTGGTCCAAAAAAGAAAGAGGCGTTCTGCTCTGGTAAAGAGTTACAGTCTCAGAAACTCACAGGGCCAGGTCTACCCTGTCCTAAAGGGTCATAATGAGTCAGAATAGAGTGGGTGCAAGACCAGGCCAGGCAGCAAGACCCCTGATCATTTTCTCTTACGGTGACGATGAGTGGCCGGCCCTGCCTCTGGCACTGATACCCAAGGCTCCTCCAGTTGCCATGGGCTCTGTCCTCTCAGTGGGCAAGAAGCACATGGCAGGGGCCAAGAGCCTGCCTCATGACGAGGCTGGAGACAGCATGAGCTGGTCCCCCACACAGGGCTTGTTCCGTGGGGCCCTCCCTGGCCCTGAGAACAGGAAGCGCACAGCGCACAGAGCTCTCGCCCGCCACGTCTTCACTCCTCTTCATCATAGCTCCCCCTCCTTCCTCCGCCCACTCGGAGCACCCGGCACCACTGCCCCCTGGCACACACTTGAGTGGCCTTCACATCTCGGATCCCTCCTCCTCGCATCTCCTACTAACCCATGGAGCCTGGCCACAGCAGACCAGGGTGCCCCCACCTGCCAGCCTCACCTGACCAGGGTCTGGTTGTGCAGGTCCCAGACGGCAATGTTGCCGTCGCTGCAGCAGGAGAAGCAGACCTTGGCATCAGGGCTGATGGCCAGGGCATAGCAGGCGGGCGCCGAGGACGTTAGCTCGGCCTTGATGCGGGGTGTGGGCGAGGCCAGGTCCCAGATGGTGAGTGTGCTGGCCTCGCCGCCAACGATAAGCGTGCGCCCATCAGGAAGCAGCTTGCAGGAGCGGATGTAGTTGTCCCTGTTCTGGATCAAAGAGGACAGGGGTGAGCCACGGCCGCCAGGCCTTCCAACCACACACATACACACACGCGCTCGCATGCACACCTGACAGGTGCTCAGAGCACCCCACGTTGCCAGTTCACCCCAGCTAACACAGGGCCCCCTGAGCCCTCACCAGGCAGTCCAGCTGAGAGATGGGGCTCTTGCTGCCCGGCTGGCTGATGTCCCAGATCTTCACGCAGCCCTTGCCGCCGGTGTAGACATGCCGAGTGGGGTTGCTGATGGTCACGGCGCACACCACCTCCCCATGGCTCAGCGTGTTGATCTGGCGGGCATGCCGGGGGATGCCGGGGCCTGCCAGTGCGTCGTGGGGGAAGGGCACGGGCTGCATCTGCCCGTCGGCACTCACATGGAACGAGTACGCTCTGGGAGGGCAAGAACCGGCACACTGCCACCCCAGGTCGCACAGCAACTCCCACAACCCTGCCTGCCTGCCTCCGGCCCTCGGCTCCCAGAAGCTCCCCAAACACAGCTAGCTGGGTGCAAACCATGGCCTCAGGGCTGTGGCGGGTTCCCTGCTGTCTCCCCAAGCTCCCTAGCCCCTGGGCCAGGCTCGACCAACCAGCATTTCAACCCTGGCCTTAACCCCGATTGTCCACCCTCCCTCCAACCAAAGCCTCTTCCTCATCTCTTCCTCTTTCCCCAAACCAAACTCATTGCCATTGAGGCGAGGCCGGCTCACAGCGACCCTATAGGGCGGGGTAGTGTTTCGGTGCCCTTTACGGGAGTACAAAGCTCGTTGCTTCTCCCTGTTTCACACGACCTACAAACACCCTGACAGACTGGCCAGAGGCAAAGCCCAGCGCCAATGACATCTCCTCCAGGGAGGGCCCCCCTTCTCCCTGCGCCCAGGAAGAACCCTGTAGAAATTTGCTCTGCTTCCTGTCACAGAGCCTTAATTGAAACAGGGGGCCTGGTGGTGGCTCCCCCGTTTCAGACAGATGTGGGGGAAGCGAAGCTTCGGTGTAACAGCAGCTGCAGAGGGGGTGCAGTGTCACGGGCATCTGGCCAGAGTCTAAGGGCAAGATTGGGGTGTGGGGTGTGGGGGTGCCTGTCGTATCCTGTCCTGTTGTGTTGGTGCATTGGCTGAGCCCCCGTTCCCCACCACGCAGAGAGCACAGGTGGCCCAGAATGGGCAATCTCCCGTGGCAATGCCAGCCTCCCAGCACCGCATGTGCTGTATACCAGCGGGCGCCAGAAGGGCGGAGGGAGGGAGCAATGGGAACAAAGCAGAATTTCCCACGAACTTTTTGAAGGCCCCTCGTGTCACCCCTGTGGCCTTGAGAGCTGCCACCTGAGCACCTGGAGTCTCGGAGAGGGAACCGTCTCCTCTCCTGCAGCTCAGGTCAGAGCCACATCCCTGCACACCTGTGGGGCAGAGCCAGGCCCGCATCTGCCTAGGACGCGAGACACCGGGACACCAGAGCGGTCTAGAAAGGGGTTCAGCAAGCTGCGGCCGAGAGCCAGGTGTGGCTCTTCCAGTGCACACGTGTGGTTCTAAAGTAAGATTGAAAAAACTCTAGAGAGTCTTCCTCAGATCACCGCGATTCCGTTTGTGAAAATAAACGTATGGCTCTCGAATATTGTTTCACCTGCTGTAAGAGACAGGACTGGCTCTCCCGTCTCAAAAGTCTACCAGCCCCTTCTCTAGAGAGTCTTCCATCAGTACAGCAGTAAGAAGCCTGCCCTGCCCACTGCCCACCGCAGGGGCTACAGCTCTGGCCACCAAGGAGCAGGCATGGCATGAGTAGCCAATGCCACGGAGAGACCATATGTGGCTCCCTGCTGCACCAGGGAGCCCAGCTTGACCCTCCATACAGGAGTCGTGCTGGGCCCATCTCAGGGGGAGGGGGTAGCTGGACCACATGCCGTTTAACCCCTACAAGTGCTCTCTGGAACAGTGAGCAGATTCTCAGTGAGGATAGTCTACCAGAGTGCAGAGGGAGCACATCCCCCAGGCACAGCGCCCAAGGCCTGCTGTGGGGCATTTTCAGCAGGTGGGGCAGCAGCCCAGGGCCGAGGAGGTCGGAGGGTATGGACGATCCCTGTCCCTCCCACAAAGCATGCACAGAGAGCAGACATGGAGCTTACGGTTTTCCGCCAGGAATGGAGGCGAGGCTTGAGGGCAGGCCCGTGGCCCGCATGGGCGGATGGGGGTCAAAACCAACCTGGAAGGCAAGACAAGACCAGCCCTTCCTTACCCAGAGGTGCTGCCCGACACTCCTTCAGCCACTTCCTTTATCCCCCTACTCAGCCCCGGCCCCAAGGCCACCCAGCATGCCACAGGAAACAGGCACCTTGCCCAGGCCAGAGGCAGGGCTGGAGGAGGGTCCAAACCCCAACTCTGGATCAATATCCTCCATCCTAGCTCTCTCTTCTCCCTGGCCTCGCTTCCACCTCCCTCACTAGAGCGCCTCCTGGCTTAAGGAGGTAGAGACAGACTGATACTACCTCGTGAAAAAAGACCCTACCACCTTCGCCCCCCACCCCCACCCCACTGAGCAAATACTGTTCTGATGACTCTCCTCCTCCTTTGCCAAATATTTCACTTTCTGGGACTCCCACCCCCTAAGAGCGAGGGGAGACTGCAAGCAGTCCCACCTCCTAGGAAGGAGCAGTCAGGGCAGTGGCCGGCCTGGCCACCAGCAGGCAAGCTGGAAGCACAACCCAGCTCTGTCAGGCCCACAATGTGTCCTCCAGCCAAGCGCCACCGGTTCAGGGGTACTTCCCCTGGTAGGACAAGTTGAGGGTTCCCTTGCATATGGAGGGGTGCCACCCAGAACCTGGGAGCCTCACGCGCGTCACCCGGTCCCCACAAAAGGAGCTAAAAAGTCTACGTACAGCTCCGAAGCTCACCATTGGCGACCGGCCATAGGCGGCGGCGGCAGCGGCGGCGGCGGCACTCATCTGGGGCGGGATGTTGTGGAGGCTGGCGTAGGCACCGGGGCTGGTGAGGGAGCCGTTCATCTCGTGGTGGCTCATCATGGCAAACGGCGTGGCGTAGGAACTGGTGATGGAGATGGGCGTGCGCAAGGCAGAGGCTGCGCAGAGGGAGCGGAGGGGGCGTCAGGGGGCGGGCTTGCCCTCCTGCCCACCCGCACCCTGCAATCTGCCTGCTCCTCAGACGAACCCGTCCTGTTGGGACGCTGGGACAGTGGGCCCAGGGAGAGAAAGGGTTTGGCTCGTTCAGAACCTTCCTCCTGGACCTTCTGGTGAACCGCCCTAAGGCCACCCCAGGAAAGCCCAAGGCAGCACACACCCGGGTGATGTGGCCCATCTTTGCGGGTGGGCCTAGCCCAACTCCCCACTGTACCTAGCGGGTCCATGCCTGGAGGTTTGCCTGGCATCGACCGGAGCCCCGGCGTGGTGCTGGTGCCCGGAGTTGGGGCGTCGTTCCTGGGCGTGGGGGTGTTGGACTTGAGCCCAGGAGTGCAGGATTTGTCATTCTGAAACGGAGACACAGAGACCAACAGCGGTAAAGGCACCTCTCTTCCAAGAACTGGGCCCTCAGGCACCCCAAGGGATGCCTCCACCCGGCTCCCCAAACTACTCCGAACTCACTCCCATGAAGTCAAGAGTGACTCAGTGACCAGAGAGAATGGGGTGGAGCTGTCCCTGTGAGCTGCCGAGACTAACGCTAAGGGAGTCGGCGAGAGCCCCGTCTTTCTCCAGACCTTGCGGTGAGCAGCCCAACCTGCTCCCACTCTGCCCCAGGGACGTTCAGAGCCGGGATCCTCTGCCTGCAGCCTCCTCGCACACGCTCCAGCTTTGGGGGCAGCAGGGGCTCTGGTCCCATTCCACAGCTACACAAAGCCGCAGCCGAGGCTCGGAAACGTGAAATAAGTGCAGCCCACCCAGGGCTCTGCGTGGACTGCCATTGGAACAGAGGCCTGGCTGGCGGCGACTGCAGAGATGACAGCTTAGGAACCCTGTGGGGCAGTGCCACCCGTGCTGTGATGGCCCACAGCAGCGGCAGCACCACTGGCTCAGGAAGTAGGGCAGGCAGGATTTGAACCTGGGTCCCAGCCACGCCTGTATGCATTCTACTCCATGCCCCTCTGCCCTCCCAACAAGCACCACTTGGACCCCTGTGCAAAGCTTCTTCCCACTCTGCCCCCGGTAACGCTTGGAGGGTCTCTCTGGAAAGGAGGCCTCGCTGTCAGTCCCCCACCTGGCCGCCGCAGCCCGGGCAGACCCCACGTACATGACCGAGGTCTTTGGTCTTGGAGGAGGGTGTGCTACTGGAGGAGGCCACTGAGGCGGGGCTGGTGGGGGCGTCCTTCTTCAGGCCCCGGGCTTTGTCCAGCCCGTTTTCAGGGGGGGAGTTTGCCGGGCTGACCCGGGGCGTCGCTGGGTCCTGAAAGCACAGGGGACACCGAGATGCACTGGAACCACCCGATACCATCCGCCCATGTCCCCAAGACTGGTGGTGGATCACCCACTGGGACCCACATGGTATCCACGGGCTGGTTTCGGGGGAAGGAGCTCTGGGTTGGGACCACACTGGAGGAGCCCAAGCTAGGAGAGGAGTCCTAATAGGGACCAAGGAGTTCCGACTGATCTTGGCTGAGCCTCCATCCGACAGATGGGGAGAAAGTACTGCCCAAGTTCACACACAAGTTCAAAGAAGCCAGGACTCAACTCCAAGGAGAGTCTATTCCAGGCCTGCAATAGCACCTCTCAGGCACTGCCCGCCCCCAGGCAGGTGGCAGTGAGAACAGAGAGCCCGGTAGGAGCAGGGGACGCAGAGCTGGACCCCATGCTGGGGAACCCTCTGGCATTAAGACTGTCCAGCTGCCACTCACTGAAGCCCTGCCCTGGCGTCCCTAGCAGGCCTGATGCCCCGAGGTCACCCTGCTCAGGAGCCAAGACACAAGGGCACCCAGCCCAGGTACAAAGTGCCCAAACCTAGAGCCCCCCTGCAGGCCTTCCTGTCCTCACCTCATTGGAAACGTCCACCACCAGGTCATCACTTTTGTCCCCGTCACTGTCCTGCGAATGAGAGTGAAGCCCACCGGCCAGTGAGAAGCCGCCATCTTTGCCTCCCACAACAGCTGGAAAGGCCCCCTCTTCCCCTCAGCCAGGATTTGAAATGGGGGACCACGCCCCAAAGCCCATGTCCTTTTCTCAGGCAATGAGAGCCCCTGCAGCTAGTGTGTGGGTGGGGGGGAGGGTTTCTAACCGTGGCCCCAGTACCCGCGCCCACTGCCCTTTAACACCACTCTCAGACGCTTCTCTCAGGCTCGTTTATATTTGCCACCACTCACGGGCACAATGGTCCACCCGCTGCAGCCTCAAAGCCGGGGGTGTCAGCATCGATGTGAACCTCGACTGTGGGGTCTGATGGACAGGTGGGTGTCCACAGACCAGAGTTGGGGCTATAGCGACAAGGGGCAGACACAGTCCTGGAGCAATCTGGTTTTTGGGGTGCTGTTAACAGTCTAGGGACGAGGCAGGCCCAAGGAGGTGCTGAGGACCCCCAGTCTGCTCTTGGCCAGGTGGTGATTCATGGCCCACCCTCCTGTCCTTGAGGGGGCCACTGCTTTGGCCCCCTACCCTGTGGCTTTCTGACTCGCTGCCCACAGCCAGGTCCTCCCTGCGGCTGCCCTCTGCCCAGACATACGTATCGGCTCAGACTGTCCTTCTCCTCTGCTTTCCGCTTCTTGGCTTCCATGCCGTAGTCCGAGGAGCCCCGGTGCTTCTCGCTGGCACGCAGGCTTTCCGAGGGAGACACCGAGTTGTTCTAGAAGCAGGGAGGGGCTCCAGGTCAGCCACCTCCCTCCACGGTAGCATGGCACACACACAGACCCAGCGCTGTGCCTCCAGCCGCCAGAGCACGGAGAACCCAGCGCCGGGTCTTCTGCAGGTTTGCACTCACACACAGCCTTGCCTGGGAGCCATCTCGTGCCCCCCGAAGCTGCCCTCAGAGAAGCCCCCACGATCTCCCACAGCACAGCCCACTGTTGTCAACCGTCGGCCTGTGGGAGGGCAGGGCTCACACCTGTCTCTTCATGCCTGAGGCAGCGGTCCCCAGGACATTCTGTGGCTTCCTCCTTGTCAGAGCCCACCCAGTATGTCCACCCCCTTGCTCAGTCACCCCCCACCCCCAGTCACTGTCTGTCTGAGCCCCGGGTCTGGCTCAGGCCTGCTGCCAGACACAGAGGAAGGAGGAAGAAGCAAGGTTGTTCAGGAGCAAAGAGTCTAACTACAGGGAAGAAAAAGCCAGTCCAGTGGCAAACGTCATGCAGTACGCAGGTGACACCTGGAGAAGACATCTCTTTGGAAGAGGCGGACATCAAACACCGACTGAGGACCGTTGTGTGGTGCCTCCCTTCCTACAGGAGAGGCCGATGCTGGCGCGGGAGTTCCCGAGTGGGGTGAAGAGCTTGGTGGTAATTGACAGGTTGGCAGTTCAAGTCTACCCAGGAACTACTCAGAAGAAGGGCCTGGCAAAACACACACACACACACACACACAGTCCCCCAAAGAATCTAGCCTTTGAAACGGCCCTGAAGTGCCGTTCTGGCACTGACATGAGTGGGGTCGACAAAAGTTGGCATCAGCTTGCCAGCAAGCGTTTACTGCAGGCTCTAGGGCAAGGGTCACTAAGGGTCACCTGGAGGGAGCAAGAAAGGACAGCCAAGGAGCAGCTGTCCAGGGGGACCACGCAGTGCAGGCACCAACTTCACTTCCTTCCCTGAGCCGGCTTCTGGGCAGCCCTTTCCTGCCCAGTTTCTGCCTGGAGCGCATTAAAATGGCAGAACCATCAAGCCTCAAAGAAAAAGCAGAGGTTCTAATGGAACAGAGCTCAGTCTCCCCCACAGCCGTGCAGGGGTGGGGCCGTGTGCACACAGCCGCGACTCAATTAGCTGCCGCGAGCGCAGGCAGAAAACCCACCGTCATTCCACTCCATTTCCCCGCGCGGTGGTGGCCACCTCTCGCTAAGCAGTGTCTCCCTCCCCGCTCAGGCTAGGGAAGGGGGCTGGGGGCGGGCGTCCCTCCGTGTCCCCCGTCGTCCATGGCGGGAGAACAGGGAGCTCTTTCTTCTCATGCAGTCAGGCTGAAAACCCGCACCACCGCCCGCCCGAGAGTCATGTCAGGCATTTTATGTCAGGCATTTAGCGGCATCGATCCAGCCCGCCTCTGGCTGGCAGGCGGCCAAAAAACTAAGTATTTTTTATTGCTTTGGCGAGGCAAGGAAATATGAATGAAGCGACCTCTAATTGGACTCCAGACGAACCCCTCTGGGACCCTTTCCTGCCCCTTCACCGGCCCTCCCGCTCCAGCAGAGCCTTGTCCTTCCTGTCCGGGCCTCATCTGTTGACAACCGGGCTTCCAGAGGGCTGGGAACTGCAGCCCTCGGCCCTCCACTGGCCGCCCAGGCAGCCGTCGGCCCGGACTCTCTCCCACTGATCCTCAGGAACCTGGCCCTGGGCATCTGCTGAGCAGAGGGAAGGCCTCAGCTTGTGCGTGCGTGCGTGCGTGCGTGTATCTATGTGTCTGACTGTAGTGTGTATGTATGTGTGCAGTGTATCTGTCAATGAGTGTGTATGAGTATACTATAGTGTATGCATGTGCCTGTGTATGTGTGAGTGTTGTGCGTACATGTATGAGAGTGTATAGTGTGTATCTGTCTGCGTGTAGTGTGTATCTGTGTGTGTCTGTGTGTGTGTATGTGCAGTATGTGCCTGTGTATGTGAGTATAGTATGTGTAGTGTATGTATGTGGCTGTGGATGTGTGAGTGTGTGTAGTCTATTCTCCTGGCAGACAGCATGCACCATTGGGGCACAGAGTCAAGAGGAAATCTAAGTGAGGTGGAGGATAGAGTCAAGGTGAGTCAGGCTTATACCCCCTTCCATTCACTCTGCACCTGGCCACCCCATCCTGCTGTTCCTGATCTAAAGGGGTCTTTCCAAGCACCTGCCCAGAGGTGCCTCATGGGTAAGACAAGTGGGGTGGTCTGTTTCCCCTGAAAACCCTAGGGAACTTCGTTCTGCTCGGGGAGCTGGGCCGGGTCTAAACCTCCAGGGGCCCCATCCAATGCTCTACCAGCAAGCCAGCTCTTCAAAGAGGCCACAGTCTGGGGGCCAGCTCTCAAGCAGGCAGAATGGATTTTCACCATCACTGAGGCCTTTGTTCAGCACCCAGCCATCTCTAGGCCCCGGACGAGGAGCCATGGGCCTCGCCACAAAGGGGGGCCTTACAGAGTGGTGGGGAGGGCAGGCTGGGATGGCGGGGAGCTGCCAAGGAAGAGGCTTGCTGGGTCGGTTAGTTAACTGCCCCCCCCTCCAAGTCCTACTCCACAGGAGGTAACAACCAGAGCCGTCCCAACAGATGGGATGGCCCAGGATACAAGAACGGCGATGACTTATTTTTTTTCTCTGCAGCCTCCACCGCTCTTATTCAGAAGGTAGGTCCACTTGAAACAGAACCTCTGAGCCTCGGTGTGATCAGAAAGATTTACAGCAAATCTGGGGCACTGGCAGACATGCAGGCGGCCTGGCCTTCATGGGCGCGAGGTAGCACTTCGTTAAACTGAGCTAAAGCTCGGAACAGAGGAGGAACCTCAGGGGGTGGTGGGGGTGACAGGATGGTGGAAGCGGCAGCCTGTAGGTGGGGGAGAGCGGCACAGTCGTGAGAGACCTGGGTCCCCAGCCCAGAGGTTCCACAAACTCGCCTGGCTGCGACGGGGCTGGCCAGCTGGGCCCTTTGGTTAATCATCTCTCCGAGGAAAGGGAGGGAGCGTGGGCTCCGTTCAAGCAAGCTCTTCAAATGACAAATGATGGCCCCAAGGCTCAGCGATGAAGGACTGTCCCCAACCCAAGGTCACTCACAGCAGGGGGCAGCCACCCCTCCCCCTGGCTCCCCAGTCTACATTGAAAGTACCACCGCCCCGCTCCCAGCTCTGGGCACAAGTAAACAGTGACAAGCAACCCCAGTGACCTACCCCAGCAAGACCACCCTAGGCCCACTGGGCAATTCTAGGAGCCAGCTGCCAAAGCAGGAACCCCTGGCCCCTCTCTTCCTCCCAGGCCCCCAAACACCTTGCGTGTCCCCATCACTTACCGCACTCGAGTCTCTCTCTGTGCGGGAGAAGAGCCAGGTCAGGAGGAGGGTCCGAGCCCCGACACCAAATGGAAAAGAGACAAGAAAGAACAGACAAGGTCAATCTGTGGCCAGTGGCCTTGTGGTTTTGCTAGTTCACTGGTTTTCAAACTGGCAGCAGGCTGGCCTCTCTGAGCCGGAGGAGCCGAGGAGGAGCCATAAAGTGAAGTTTCTGAGTTTGGAAATTAACCACCCAGATTGCAGTGCATACCCACCAGGCCCCTGGGGGCGGCAGGGGAGGCCTTTGCCCTAGCTCTCCCAAACAGACCCAGAGCTGGCACCAAGGCAACTCCACTTTTTTAAGCTTCCAGTTTGGAAGGAAACATGCTATGCCAAGTAAGGCACCTGTAGGGGCTAGGGGCCAGCAACTTTATCGAGTGGAGGAGGGCACTCTTAGTTGAGTCTTTTAAAATGTGGTTTTCACTTAACCATCCTCTGTGTCACCAAGAAGCCCCTCCTGGTCAGCCTAACAGCAGCTGGCTGTCTGCTGTGGGGAGGCTCAAGGGCCACGGGGCTGTAACCGCCAATCCCCAAGACTTGCTGCTACCCTGGAGCTGGGCAGGTGAGGATACACCAAAGCCCTGCCCATTGTCAGGTGCACCCGGAAACATGTAAGCCAGCAGTTTTACAAAAGGGTCTGCCAAGGAGCCAGCTTCTTTCCTTTCCTAAGCCCCTCCTTGATTGATGCCGGCTTCCAGGGTCCTCTGGGTAAAGGTTGTGGGGGGGGGGGGGCGCAAGCAGGGGAGGTAGAGGACTTCTGTGACCCTGTCTTTCCAGCCAGCTCCCTGCTGGAGCATCCCTGGGCACGTGCTTACAAGCAGTGCACCAGGTGACCCAGCTGAATTGGAAGGCAACTGTGTGCCTTTTCTTGAAGCCTGCGCGGGGGAGACATCTGCCACAGAGAACACCCAGGCCTTGATCCCTGCCCTCAGGAAAGGCCTGCTCTTCACCCCCACCCCCACGCCCGCTACCGGAGCCAACCCCAAAACTCCCACGGGAATTTGAAAGGGTTGCCCCCACCCCCACCCCTTTCCCCCTGTCAGGAAGGGGTGGGATAGGGACTGGACCTTGAAAGGCGGGTAGTGTGGCCAAGTCCCAGGGCAGATGGCCTCCGAGACACCTCCCAGTCCTCTGCTCACCTGTCCTGGTGGCCTATTTGCTGCATCCTCTCACGTGGGGCCCAACCCACACCCCACCCTCTCTCCCCACCTGGGGCCGCACCTCTGTGGTCAAGTTCATGGTGGTTCTTCTCGTCCTTCACTGTCAGGTGAGCCTGGCTGCCCAGGGCGCCAAGTGCCAGCAGCCCCGAGCTGGCCCCCGTCACCGGGGGGATACCAGGAGGCTGGAGGCCCGACGGGTGGGGTGGCAGCTGGACCGGGGGGCCATGCGTGGCGTGGGAAAGGTGCTGGGCCTGGAGCTGCTGTTGCTGCAATGAAGTTGACCATGAGCACAGCGGGGCAGGAGGGGCATGAGGGCCCCCCGTGAAGGAGGGACTGCCACCCCCAAATACTCCGTCGACCCCCCCCCCCACAGACACACACTTCCACATTCCTGGCTCAGTCCACATGCTCTTGCTGAAGGAACAATTTGTTAATGGACTACATCTTTAAGGACAAGATTTAGGTTTGCAAAGACTCCACCCGCCCCCATGCTCAGAATGGCATTTCTCAACGCAGGGTTCCCAGGTGGAGAAAATAATGCATGCATTTAAAAACCACAGTTGCGGGGGCTCCCTCTCAGTTCCAGGGGATCCATTGGTTTAAGTTCCCAGCAGCCCCTTGGCAGGCTCATGCTGACATGCCTTCCACCGGGGGCTGCCAGCTCCACCCACCCAAGGCCAAGGCCAGGCCCTGGGCAGACTCCCCACTTCTGAGACACTCCTGTCAGGCCTGGCTTCCAGAATGAACCGTTTGTCAAGCAATAAGAACTGGGGACTGGAGGAGGGAGAGCTAGGATCACTGGGCAACAGGGTGGAGAGCGGGGTCCGGGTAAGGGGTGGAGGTGCTGGCCGGAACCAACCGGACCAGGAATCAGAAGTCCCAGCTCCCGAATTTTATTGGCTGTACGACCTCGGCTGGGTTACTTCACCATCCCGGGCCTCCAATGCCCTAACTCTACACAAAAGGGGAGCTGGACTTCAGACAACGCTGCAAGTAACCGCCCGCCGGATACTCATGACTGCTCCTCCCGTGACTGTGAAGGGAGCTAATGTTTACCCACGGCTTACAATGTTCTAGAAAGCTTACGTGCCTTAACTCGGTGTCGTCATCCACAACAACAGTAAGGAAACTCAGGACTCCAGGCCCCCCGACTCCCCAGACATCTGACACTGTAACCTCAGGGCCTTCTCTTGGCCCGTCTCCGCGTGCCCCAATCCCTGGCTTGCCCGGGCAGCCCTGGCTCTGCCCCCTGCAGCCTGACAGCATGCCCTTTAGCATTCCTAAGACCGTGCCAAGACCATGGGCATTATGGGGCAGGCTGACAGCAGACAAGTACTTCTTAAGGATGGAAGTATTTCTTAGGAGTGACTAGAGCCTCGGCTATGCCGGGAGGTGCCCAAGGACACGCCTTTCTACTCTGGCACAAAGGCTAAGGCCCTAAGTGAGGGCCTGGGCTCATCCCAAAAGTTGTCTGTATAAAGCAGGCCTTCACGCTCAGTTTTAAAGGAGCCCTGGTGGTGCTGCCGGGTTAGTGTGGGGCTGCTGAAGGCAAGGGTGAGAGTTCGAATCCACCAGCCCTCCAAGGGAACAAGAGGAGGCGTCTGCTCCATAAAGATTTACGGGCTTGGTGACAGGAGGGTGGGCAGCTCTTGAGTTGGCACCTCGGGCCAGGGGAGCTGGAGGGGGCAGCCAGGACCTGGCTAAATGCTACCACGCATGCATGAGTGAGAATTGGGCTTCAGATTAGTCAACTACCCATCCACCGCTCCTAAGGAAACCCCCTGAAGGAACAAAGCTAGTGACTTTGGGGGAGGGGGGGAGGTCTACTGAGCAGAGATGTGCTAAGTGTTAAGATTTTATCTGCCAAGAGCCAGATTTCTGCCAAAACTGTTCACTAACAACAGAACCCGGGGGAAAGGGCAAGCTCTGATGGCAGGCGAGATTCCCAGAGCTAGGAAGAGTTTGAGGTCAGGAGTTAAGGGTCCCGGTCTAAGACCTGTCCCTGGGCAGTTAGCAGGAGCTGATGGTGGACGCTAGCCCACCCTGAAAACACCACAGCAGAAACAACGCTCAGGGGCCCTCAGTGCCCGCATCTCGGGGTCCAGCGCAGAAGCCCGCCCACCCAGCCAAGAAGCTTAGACCTGAGCCCCCACACACCTTTGTTTTAGAAAGAAACATTTTTTAATAGCTTATTACAAAAATAATACATGCTCATTGGGGAAAGAGATACTAAAGGGAAATACAGATTTTCAAATCACCCTCCACGCCCTCGATGACGTCACTGTTCACCTGTCTGGATTTTTCTTCTATGGAAGTCGGAATGAATGAATGAATGAATGAATGAACTCATCATTACCAATACTGGTACACGGATGTCTTGCTAGGTAGATGGGCACTTGTTCACCATCTGTCATGCAAACCAACTGCAGTGTGAGAGTGACCAGTACAAAGAAACACACCGGGCCTTCGGAGGGGCCATGCATTAAGGACTGTCTTCCCCTGGGGGGCTGATCTCCACATCATCCAGAGACCCCGTTTACCGTGCGTGTCTCCCACGCTGGACCTTTGGGGTTTAGAATGTGGCCCTGAGCCGTTCACTTCTCCAGTGAGTTTAGTGACTTGGTCAAGCCCTCTCCCAAACCAGGGGCTGGGGTTCTACACCCACTTTCTACAGTGCACGACAGGACAGGCTTGAGGAAGAGGAGAGAGGAAGGGGAAGGAAGATGGTTTCAGAGCGCCCAGCACATCATCTTGGGCTGATTGCTTGGCAGCCTACGCCTGGGGTTGCCCTTCCCATCTAGAACTCCCTTGGCAGAGAGGAAAGATGTGCACCCATGGAAAGATGGGGGGCGAGGGGGGGGGGCAATTTGTTCCAGGCACCCCCCTTACCATCCTCCGGGCTCAGCCCCAATACACGGCACCTCCTCTGGGAAGCCCTCTCCGTCTTCCTGGTCAGAATGGACTGATCCCTCTTTAGGGGTGCCTACAGCCCAGGCGGTCCTATCAGTGAGGTGACCTTGGGCCAGTCACCTGGGCTCTAGCCTCCTGGTTTGCAAAACCAAGATGGGCTCATCTCCTGGGGCCAGATAAGACCCCCCCCCCCCACGCAAGTCCCCCAAGGAAGGGAGCGTTTCCAACAGCATCAGAAAACATTAACCGGGGCAACAACAGACACCACTCTCATCTTTATGTGACACTTGCCAACTTAGTTGTCGCACCGTGGAGGTCCAGGTGCGGAGGTCCAGGAAGACAGGGAACCCTGTCTAGTGAATCTCAGCATCTCCAACAGCCCCGCACAGTCTGGCCGGGGTGATGTGGGGAGAAGGGATGCGGGGAGAGGGGGAGGAAGAATCCAGCAGTGTGGTTCTACCCCAAGGCAGCCTCTGCCGTCCACGTCTCCGCTCTAGGGCCCGGCCAGGAAGGGTAAGTGATTGGGGAGCATCAGATGCGGTTAGAGCAGCTAGTTGTGACCAGGGCCATTCATAGGGCATCCAGCCTCCCACTTGGGACAAAGGCAGCCCTGGCAGCACGGGAACAGTGGCTTTCAATGGTGTGGCCTCCAGGACTGCTGGTTCTTCTGCCCGAGTAGGCTGGGCGGGAGTGTCCACTCTGTCACCAAGGAAAGTGCCGTCCATGCAAGAGCGAAGAGCTTTGTAGTTTGAAAGCCAGCCTCCCACATAGCCAGGAACTGACTGCTAGAAACACGGGCCCACAGTCTGCTTTGAAAGTCCAGGGAAGGGCGGCCCCTCGGGGTCCAGGCAGCAGGCAACCTCGGCCAAGTCTTCTCCTCCCTCGTGGCGAAAAGCAGACACAAGAGTTGCCGGGCACAGGAGCTGCCACCCACAGCCTTGGTCACAGTCAGGAGGAGACAACGGTACCGTCCCCAGTGGAGCAGAGGGAGACAGCCGGCCTGGATCCAGCGGCCTCGCCGTCCCCAAGTCACCAGCCGCAGCCCCTCCGCCGGCAGGGCCACCTCGGGCCGCATCATTTCCACTCCCTGGGCAGCTGAGCGCCTTTCTCTTCACCCGTCCCGAACGGCTGCCGTGCCTGCGACACGTCCCCTGGCTTCAGAGGACGATGTGCTGTAACACAGTGACATCTGAGTGGGGGAGGGTAGCGGTGCTGGCCCACGGGGAGCTCTCCCCCACGGGGAGAGATGAAATCAACTCCAGGAGGGCCCTCCACGCCTCTCTCCACCATCCCAGCCAACGCCAGGGCTTCTCCAGCATCCAAGGGAGTTGGCAGCTCCCTGTTCCACCCTTGCTCTACTCTTGCCCCCACCCCATCCCCACCAAAGAGGGGCATCTGGAAGCCAGCCCACTCATGAGTGAGTGCCCTCCTTTAAAGCCTCATGGCAGCCCCAAGCATGTCCAAGAGGCGCCTGGGGGCCGTGCTCCAGTGGGCGAGGCACACCTGCTTCCAGCCTCTGCGGGCGGAGGGAATGCTCACTCTTTAGGCTCCAGCCTTGGGTTACATTCCAGGGAGATGCCCAAGCGTCTGCACAGCCCAAATTTGCCAAGGACTTCCCAGCAGAGGGTGTGCAGACAAGGGCGGAGCCTTGGAGGGACAGAGCGGGTTAGGTGCTAGGCTGCTGACCTTGAGGTTGGTGGGCTCAGGTCCACCGGAAGCAGTCTGCTCCCAGCCTCGGGTGCCCTATACAAGGTTGCCATGAGTCACAATAGCCTCTGTGGCGTTGAGTTTGCCTTGGCTTTGTTTTTGACCTCTCCGGGAAGAGATCCCTGGGTCTCCACTGACCCCTCCACTTCACATCTCAGCAGGCCCAAAGCTCTCGTCTAAGGGTGCCTCGGTCCTCCGGATGCAAGGAAGGAAGGGTGGGCAGCCCATAGGAACCCGGGCCCATCTAGCCTACAGGGATACAAGAGTCCCCTCAGACCAGCAAGGGAGTGAGGTGGGGCTGGGCCAGCAATTCCTGTCTCCCACCACCACCATGTCCTTCTACTCTCTCCATACCGTGGTGACCCTGGAAATACTCGAAGGCAAGTGATTAATATCCTACAAGCCACATCTATGTCCTGGGGGCAGTGGTAGATCAAAGGGAGAATTCTTGCCTTCCAGGCAAGAAACCCGGGTTCACTCCCAACCTGTCCACCTCCTGGGGGCCACCACCCGTGTGTCAGTATAGGTCTGCTGGTTGCTATGACAACACTGTACTGGGTTGGAGATGCGGTACCCATTTTAACAGAGCTTCGAGACCAAGACAGACTAGGAAGAAACAGCTGGCGATCTCTTTCCCCCAAATAGCGTGGATCATAAAGTAAAGATAAGAAAATGAGAGTGGTGGGGGCCAAGGAAAACACAGGACGGCACAGTTTAAGAGAATGTTACACACTGTGAACAATGTAACTCATGTCAGTGAACAGGTTGTGCAGAAACCATGGAACCGGAACCATATTTGCTGGGTACACTTGCACCGAAAACCACAATCAAATGCTATTATTTCATCAACCCCAAACCCATTGATCAAAATAGCCCAATTGACAAGAAGGGGTCGTGGGGAGGGAGAGGGCCAGACCAGACAGGGGTGCATGTGCCACTGTGCATGGGGGTCACCCCAGTCAGTGTGACAAGCGTAACATTTCCCTGCCTGTGCCATGAGGCCATGTCTGTCCACAGCCTTCAGCTCCCAGCCAGAGATAGCCACGCCCCCGCAGACCGGAACGATGACCATGAAGCCCTTTGCAAAGCCCTCCAGTGTGCCTGGCAGTGTTCCAGGCAGGCAGACAGACAGATCACTCCTAGCCGGGCCCCTGGGGCCCATCTTGCTCTGACTCCCTCTCAGATCTTCAGCCCCGAGCCCTCCCTCCCGCCTCTGCCTGCCAGGCTTCCCACCATACTCTGCTTGCTTGCATCCTCCAACAGTAAGCAATATGAGCACCCTGACTACCCAGCCTAGCAGGCTGGCAGGCCGGCAGGCTCCCAGCAAGCGCCGCGGCTGTCTATAATTCCTGCCTGGGAGGCTCGGTCAGGCGCAGCGATCAGATGGCCGCCTGCTTAATGACAGGGCGACGGGCTGCATTCATTCAGCGCCTGAGAAGCAATTACCTTGAAAATGGGGGTCACAGGCCCCACTCGTTGCCTTTAATTGAATTCCAATATCTGCTTCGAGCTGCCTTGACCTAACTTGTAGCTTCCTAAATGCTACTTACAGGAAATAAAGCTAATCCCAACGGCACTTCTTCCTCAATTTGATGCTTTTCTTAAAAACTTGGAGGGGTGGGGGGTGGTGGGGTTGGGGGGTGTTCCTAAGAGAATTCTAAATCCAAAGATGGAGACAGATGAGGAGAAGGGCCCCTGGTCTGGCCTGTTTCAGGGTCCGGGACTCAAAATTTCCATGACCACAGAGTTATGAGTAGCCTCCAGGGCACAGGACACAGGCTGGACTCTAAGGTGGGTGACCTGTCAATGAGTACTCCCTCTGACCTGCTCTGCACAAGGGCACCGGGCTTCACCTCTGGTTTCAACGGGGGCGTCTGCCCACCATGGACATTGCTGGCTGTGACAACAGAGACTGTGGGGGTGCTACTAGCATCTAGTGGGTAGAGGCCAGGGATGTGATCTGTGCTGGCCCCGGGGTTCTGTGCTCGGCTGGCAAATGGTAGGTTGGTGGTTTGAGCCCACCTCAGCTGCTGCAAGGAGGGGAACTCCTGGCCACGTGACCCCATAGAAGCCCAGGAGCCCCTATGGGGGTCTAGCCCCTCTGCAGCCCAAGGATGCCAAGTGCTGGGGTTGACTGGACAGCACACCACAGGTGACCCTGGAGCCTCCTTCACACTTTCAAAAATGATGATTCTCATCCCCGTCACCCCGCCCCCAAACCCCATATCTAGCTCAACAGCTCCAGAGACCCACCCCACCCTGTGTTCATTTCCAGACTCTCTCTGCTGCTGGGGGCAATACACTCCTCCCCCCTAGCACTGCCAGAATGCGATGCTTTTGTCTTACAGCTACCGCGCACGCGCGCGCGCGGTGGTGGTGGTGGTGGGGCTCAGACCAGAAGAATTGAGCCCCCAGGCTGCCTTCCCAAAGGGTTTGGTGCCCCTCCTATGTCATGACAGTGTACCCACGTCTCTGCCTCTTGGACCTCTCAGTCCCAAACAATGCTAGACCCCCGAGGATGGACTGGTTCCAGCCCCCGAGTTCAAAGAAGCAGGCCCCTGAGGCCCAAGGAAGAGTAGGGAGCGCCCAAACGTCCACAGGGAGCCAGCAGAAGCATGCAGGTCTGCCCACGCCGAGGGGCGGGGGCCACCATGAAGCCACCCAGCAGAACCACACCCCATGGCCTTCAGGTCCACCTGGACACTCTGACCTCACACCGGACAAGAGATGGGGCGAAGCCAGGAGCCAGCATGTCCAGGGGCCCTGAGCTAGCAGCCTGATGTGCCCAGCCTGACTCGGCTTCAGAAGGAGTCGGGGGAAAAAAATGTTTAAAGCCGATTGCAAGGCCCGTGGAAGAGAGCAATGGGTTGTGTGTGCCTGAGGATCCGTCTTGGGGATGCCGACCCAGCTGTCTATGGACTGGGAAGCTCCCTCCCCCCACCCCCGGTTCAGTGGTAGGATTCACAGTCGACCCCAATGATAGGAGTCTTGACCAAGGTCACACTGGAAGACAAAAATGTCCCCTCTCAGGTGCTTATCTGAAATAGCCTTAGAATCACATCAAACAATCAAGGAAGAGAACAAGGCTCTCTTAAGCCAAGGAAGATGCGAGCCAAGCAGGGAGAGAAAAGGGTGTGGTTTGGCTTCCCCTTCCACTGAGGAGGAGGTAAGACCAGAAGTGGGCTTTAGATGGCACTCCAGGACATGTGTCCCTGCTCCCAGGTGAGATGGGACCTCCAAAAGGTCAGAAGACACTCTGGCTCAAAGCCAAGTAATGAACGCTGAGCCAGGCAGCTCAGCCCTCCCACTCCGCCTCCCAGCTCCCAGCGCATTCCACATCGACAGTATAGCAGAGACAGTTCTGATCTCAGGTGGCCGTAGAAGGGCAGGCCTTTGCCAGGGGCAAGGCCGCAGGGCGGAATAGACCAGCCCTGCGGAGACAGGAGAAGGTGGCCAGGTACTGTGATCTGATCCCTTAACCCGGCAGGGAGGCCAAAAGCCAGGAGAGGGCAAGCTGCCACATTCAGAGGTGAGAATCGAGCCCGGGTGTCTGGCAGCCCCTTAATTCAGGGATGGAGAGGCAACTTGGGGACCAGTGGGGTGTGTTCCAAGCCCGTGAGATGCTTGGGGGAAAACCGGAGCCCTGGGGCTGCCATTCTCTGAGGCCAGCTAAGGTCAGGGTCAATCTCTGGTTATGGAAAATGAGAGGTGTAAAAGGGCTATACACACGGTGAGAGGCAGACTGGGGAGTCCACGTACCCCGATGATGGCGTTCAGCTCCGTCATGGTGACCTGCTTGGCGCGCTCCACTGCCTGAGCCACCTGCTGCTGGTGCTGGAGGGAACAGGGCGTGGGTTAGACGCCGCCACCTTCCCAAGCAGGAAGCACGCACAGGGAGGCCACACAGCCCGCCCGGATAGAAAAGACGGCCGCTGGCCAGCAAAACCACAGCTGGGGGGCCTCCAGGGCACAGAAAGCAGGGCAGGGGCTGTTCATTCTCTTCGTTAAACCTCAGCCAATGAGCATGTATTACTTTTGTAATCAAAAAACCGCCTTCCAATTGCTTTGCCTTCTCCAAGAGGCAGCGGAGAAACAAAACAGGGCCACTGGCCAGCCACCTCCCTTGTACGCACATACATACATACACACACACACAACCCACTTGGTGCCTGTGAATTCGAGAGCGAGGCGGGATGCCTGACTGGGCCCAAGGTGGGAGCAGCATGGTCACCCTGGGGGAGAGTGCCCTCCCTCTTGGGGCTGGGGGAGACTGTCAGCAGGCAATTCTGCAGGATGTCTCCTTGCACTGGCGCCACTGGGGTCAGAGGGGGACAGGGGATGTCTCTTTAGATACCTGATCTTTATCAGACAGAAAGTAAACACTGGGAAGGAAGGAAGAAGCGAGGAAGGAGGAAAGGGGCAGAGGGGAGAGGGATATTTTTTTCCCAACTCTGTCATCTGAAGGAACATCAACTTTTGTGCATTCCCTCCTCTCAGCCTTTCCCCTGGGGGGGGGGGGGGGCACCACATCTGTCCCTTGCAGAACCAGATGGGGATGGTGTGGTCCCAGCCACCCAGGGGCCCATTCTAGAGGGAATGTTGAGGACAGGGCTGCCAGGCTTGGGTGAAGCCCTGATTTCTGCCCTGAACCAAGATGCCCCCTGGAGAGACCTCCCTCACAATGCCCACTAACGAAGTCCCCAAGTGGCAAGTGGAGGTCCCCTGGAAGGTGTTCTTTACAGCGATGTAACACCACCCCCACCACCACGTTCACCCTCCCTATTGATTTTCCTTCCCATCCCCCGACCCCCTTGTTAGCAGGCATTAACATGGACATTCGGGACACAGAAACAGGCTGGGAATGCTGGTCAGTGGGCACAGAGGCATCCACGCACACCTTCCACTGGCCAGCTGCAGGCCAGGACCGCTTCTCTGGTCTCCCGTGGGAGGCTGGGAACCCTTCCCAGCAGAAGTAGATGGCCACGCCTTTGACCGAAGGCCCCCACCCCACCCTGCCAATGGCTCCACACACCCCAGACTTCACCGCTTCAGTCCCTTATGCCCATGTTGGGGCAGGCAGGGCCGGCCACCCCTGGCCAGCCAGTGGCTGGTTGGAGACGAAAAGGCAGGCAACAAGCAAGCAAAGGCCTTACCTCTTGGGACAGGAAAGGCATGATCTGGGCTAGAATGGTGTTCAGTCTCTTGGCGATCTCGGTCTGCAAGGGAAAGGAGACCTCTGAAACTCACCCAGATCAACCAAGCCACCCAAGTGCCACGGCCGGTGGGAGTGCAAGCCCACCCCACCCCACCCCCACACGCCCGTCAGCCTGCCCCCACCCAGGCCAAGTCCGCCTCCCCTGCAACCAGGCTGCCCACACTCCTCCGGGGCTCCCCATCCGGGGTGGGGTGATTCTGAGGGCACATTTTCTCATTCAAAATGGGGCCACTTGAGACAATGCCCACCTGCCCCCAAGCCCCGCAGCACCCGCTACAAGGGACACCACAGGGTCACACAGTTAGCTGCTCTACCTACTAGCCCCCGTGGAGAAAGGGGGACAGACAGACAGACAAGAGTCCAGGCTCAGGGACTAATTGGGAGGCAAGCGGTGAGCATGGTGGTGTTGTAACTCAGTGGGGGGTCTCATCACACCCACAGTGTCCATCTCACACAGTCTGTCAAGAGTCACATAAGGATATGGCAGGGCTGCCCCCGCAGGGTTTCTTAGGCCCATCGGCACCATCTTCTTCTGTAGAGATGCCGGTGGATTTGAACTGCTGACCTTTCAGCTCGGAGTCAAGCACTGTCACACCTGTGTCACCAGGGCTCCTCCCCCACCCCACCCCCCACAAAAGCCAGTTGCTTTCTGATTGATACTAACTCAGACAGCCCCATACTTTTCAGGGCAGAATGGAGCACAGGGTTTTCAATGAGTGGCAGATCCCCAAGGTGGCTTTGAACCATCAACCTCTGGGTTTGTAGCCGGGTACTCCATGTTTACACCACCCAGGGGACTCCATCTGCCAGGGGCATCAGAAAGCTTGTGGGAAAATGGAAAGGTTTTTCAAGCCCCTATGTGAGTGCCACTCGGCCTACAGCCCCCCACGGGCTTTCAGCTTTGAAGGCACAGCACTGCCTTCTCTGAGACATGAGTACTGCATCCAGAAGTAACTCAGGAGAGGGCCCTAAATCCCAAACCAATCTCACTGCTGGCCTGTCGATGCCAACTGGTAATGACCCTACAGGGCAGGGTAGAACTGGCCCTGTGAGTTTCCAATACTGTAAATCTTTATAAGAGTAGAAGAAAGCCCTTCATCCAGAGGAGGGGCTGGTGGTTCTGAACTGCTGACCTTGCAGTTAGCAGCCCGAGGCATAACCACTGTATCACCAGGGCTCCTATGAGATCCTTCACTCCTCAGGCAAAGCGAGCATTGAAAGAGACCCATCCTCTCCCCTAGCCCCTGGCACCCAGGGAATCAAGAGCAAGGCTCTCCCTTCCACCAAGCTAACCCCACTCCACCTCCAATTTATAAGTGGCGAACCCAGACCAGGCAGGAAGGCCTTGACCAGAGGAGGTGAGGTCTGGAATTGCTTTCCTTATCTCCTTTGGAGCCCTCTAGGACTGGGGACCCAGAGCTGACTTCAAAGCTGTTATCAGCACATAACCATCTCTGAGAGACAAAACCAAGACAACAGCCTTTAGAAATCTGTGATCATCTGCAGGTCCAGTGCAGCCTGGGGCACTGAACACAAAAAACAATGCTGGCTGAAGGCCTGGCCCCGGGGTGGGGTGGGGTGGGGGTAATTCCACCAACCCTCCTCCCCACCCAGGCCCACAGGCTCTGGTATGGTAGAAGCACCCCACCTAGACCCGCCCCCCCCCCAGTGTGTGAAGAGACAGGCAAGGTCTAAAGAACCTGATGGGTGTCCTGAGGCTGCTAGGCCCAGTAGGACTGGATGCTCCAACATCTGCACAGCCATGCCCACCACAGGAGGGGCTTCCAGCCAAGGAAGGGGCCCTGCTTCGAATAGCCAGGACCCTGAGGAACAGGGCCAGTGTTTCCCAGCAAGCACCATGGTCAGCACTAGAAAGCATTGTTTGCTGTGAAGGGCTTTGACCGAGGAGCCAATGGTACCATGGTACTTAAGGCTCACACTCCCCACTTCCGGGGGCAGGGCCACAGCAGAGACTCAAGGGGCTCACAGCCCCATCTGTGCAAAGGTTACTGCACACCACGGTTTCTCAGCTTAGACACCACTGCCCCAACCCCTCCTTACAGGGGGCCGTGTGTGCATTGGGGGGTTTGGGGATGCATCCCTGGCCTCTCCCCACAGGGTACCAAAAGCACCCCACTTAGTCTTGGCAACCCCAAGCACCTCCATACTTGCCGAATGTCAGGCACTAACAACCCCACTGCTCTTGGATGGTGGGTGTCGGGACTAGCTTATCCCTGTTTTCCTGTTTCCCTTCACCAACATTCCATTCCCGAACTTTAAAAAAAATCCTCATTAATCACCTCAGACCCATTCTTTTTTGGGGGGGGTTGGGGGGTGGAGCTGGAGGTGGGGGTGGTGAAGGAGGCAAGCAGTGCACGCATTAATATAGCAATAAATACAAAGAAAGGACCATCATTCACATTGTTAAGGAACTCGGGCTGATTACAAAGTAATTACTGTATAAATTATTAATCTGAGTAAGTCAGAAGAGTTCACCTCCAAAACAGGCCCTTCGTCAGTTCTGTTTGCCTCCCCTCCCCCATCATTGACAGTGGGGTGTGCAACAAGCGGAGCCAGGGTGGGAGGTGGGCAGGACTGGGGATCACCCAGAATCAACGAGTCTGTGTTGTGCATCCAACTGAGAGCAAAATGCTCCCTCCCTTGGCAAAATTCTGCTGAACCTGTTCACTGTCGAGCACCCAGGAACAGAAAGATGGATCAAAAAAACCCCAAAACCAAACAAAACTGGAGCAAACAACAAGAAATACAATCATCCTGCCTTGTTGCTTAGGAAGCTCAATGGGCCGGGGCCTCATACTTCCAATGACTAGTACATTAGCATGTCTGGCACATAGTAGGTGCTTGATCCATGCTTTCCCAAGAGACTATTACAGAGTTCCCTGCATTTAATTTGAGGGTCCAGCAGATGTGGGCCAGTGCAGGCAGCACTGCGGGGGGCCTCCTCGGTAGAGGGAGTGTTGACAGATGACTGGATGGGGCAGGCTGGAGTTGTCCAGACTTTGCCAAAGGCGGTGAGACCGCCGGTCAAGCCAGACCAACCACAAGTCACCTTGGTAGGCCGCTGGCTGCTTCTCTCTCCCCACAGGCAGGAGGCTGGGGCAGGCCGGCACAGTACCTTTCCACCCCTTGGGCCAATTTAGCAACTACAGCAGGCACAATCTCTTCTGTTGTCGCATGCCTACTTCCTCTGGCAAATAGATCCAGGGCCAGGGTCTTGGTAGCTGACCTTCCTCTTCCTCATACCCTTTAAACCACAGGCTTCCCACAGGCGGGATCTTCCTGCGGGACCGGGTCGGAAGTCTACCATCTCTGGCTATGAGGGACAAGGGGCAGCCAGGATTTCGCACTGCCATAACAATTCATGGCTGGGGTTGCTCAGCTCTGTGGGTGGCTCAGGGCAAGCTCCCTCTCCATCTCACCCCCACAGAAAGCAGCACCCACCCACTCGCCCTACTCTCCTCCAACACAACAAACATCAACCAGGGATGGTTAGAACAACTCCAGACACAGAACCTTCTGGAAGCCAGCGGTGCTGCGGTCCCACATGGACCTTGAACTCAATGGAGAGAGACCTCTCTGCTTGGCAGTCAAGTCATAGGACAGGGTAGGATGAAGTTA